TCCATATTCCCAGCAAGTCTCCCCTATTTTTTACCTTGTCATGGTCATGCAGTTGTTGCTTTTTTTCTTGCTTTTACTTTACTCATTTTTTATGATCTGCCACATTGGAGAGGCAGCCGGTAGCGACACAGTTTCGGAAGGTGCAAGAATATTAATTAATAATTCCGATCACAACTGAACACTTTTGTGTTGCCGCAGGAATCCGAATTATTTAGCTAAATACCAGAAAAGTGAGCGAAAAGCCAATGGAAACCGGAGTTGAACGGAGAGATAGAGATTGCGAAAGGGAGCATACGGAAGAGATTCTCAATTAATTTTTGATTTGTTGCCATTTTTCATTGTTTAGTTAATTTATCAACGAAAAACGGAAAGTTGATACCACATTTGACTGAAAATTGTTTGATCAAATTATATTATTTATATTTAAAGTTAGCAGCTTTTTATTCATTTTCAGTTTCGTTTAGCTGTAATAGAACAGTAAAAGATCGTTTCTTCAAATATTCCTAGAAAACGCATATTATCATGATATCTTGGTCCTCATCCTATCCTGTACAGAATCACATTTAAATCCTTTTGAAACACCATTTCTGACAAGAAGAAAGCAAGAAAAAGTGGACCCCAACCCACCGAGAAAGTTATTACCCAAGCTCAGAGACCTCAAGAGCATCCCAAAGAAAACGTTTCATCGGAAGCACGCACAGCAGCGATAAAGATCACGCTCCCGAACTGCACTACTCCGATTTCATGGCATCTCTCGTTCTGTTGTTTTATTGCTTAATTGTTGATCTCTCTTGTGGTTTTGAATTATGAACTTCCCCCGATGTCACTGCTTTCGTTTTGTTTTTGTGTTGTGTAACACAATTGAGGAACAGTTAGGCCATAAAAAGAACCTCCTCAGATCTGACAAGCAGATAATGCATTTCTCCCGGCTACTCTTTTCGAAATAAATAATTTTGGAGCTAGAAAAACCAATAAATGGATTTAGAGAAATTATGAAAATTAGATATTATCAAAAAGACCCAAGATCATGATCACAACCTCCTGTTTATATATAAAAAAAAACAAAAAATATTTACAATTAAGAACAAGTTTTAATTAATTTTATTAATTGCATTTCTTCGAGTGTAGTAGAGATTCTTCTGGAAATAATTTTGTTTAGCTATTTTATCACCTCCCGTCAGTTTTATGGGTGCTCGGCCCGCCTCCTGGTCAGTAAAGTCCGGAGAAAGAGAGTGAAGAAAGGAGAAATGGTGACAGATCAGCGATCGTGGTTAGTTTATTGCTTCCTCCTGTGGCTTCTTTTCTCACTGAGAATCCTTTGGCTATCTTATCGGGACGATCACGTGTTCATCGATCGTTTTCAAGGCGCCCTTAAATGCTTGCTCTTCTGATTTGGTTTTTGTTTTTGTTTCTGGTTTTTCGCATTCATTGTTTCATTTGGATCTGGCTTGGCCAACATCACGTATACGTTCACGTTCCTATTTGAAATGGACGCCTCGTGTGTCCGAGTAAACGTGATGGATGCATCGACTGGCCACTTTGCGGACTCTAACCCCGAAGCCCACACAGTTTCTAACTGAATTCCTTAACTGGTTTCCACTTCCTTTGGCTTCTTGGACTTCACTGTAGTACAGTATGCACCCTCAACTTAATATTTTATGATGGAAATGTTTTCCCTTTATCCTATTCAAAAATGTACACAAAAAATATACCAGCAGTCTATCCTTTGAAATAACAAATATAAATAAGATTAAATACATACTCGTATGATATAATTCCTACGGATACTTGAGAGCTGTGGTCACCTCTGATGATTACTGTGGCGTCTCCGTGAGAGACGTGATGTGATGTGATGTGGAGGAGCAGGCCGGCGCAGACGTGCGCCAGACACTTGAGCTTTAGTTCTATCCGCTCTCGCTTTTTCATTCATAAAAGTCATGCAGCGAATTCGAGGCTCCTGACTGGAATACTACAAGTGTTTTTCGAAAAACCAAAGCAGAAAGCGCAACTGAAACCGAAACCGAAATGAAAATTCATGTCCATGTTTCCAGCGTCGCCCGCAGCACGCACACGCACCTCAAAATGGCGAGGGGGTGGTAGCCCAGTAGGTATGGCTCCTGGGGGGGGGAGTAGGGTATGGGTATGGGGTTGAGGCGCCATCGTTGCACGTCCGTGGCCATTGTCCTCGGGCAACTGGAAGCCGTCCACACTCGCCATCCACACTCAATCCACACACTCTGAAAAGATTTAAAATTTTTAAAGATTCTGCAATAAATGGTAGTGTCCCTAATCTGGTATTATTTTAACAATATTTTAGCCGAAAGCCAGGACTTAATTATTTTTTAAATATATAACCTCTGCACTTTTAATAATTACCTAAATTATTTATCAAAATCTTAGCGATCAAAGACCCATGCTTTTTGTGGGCAGAGTCACTTGTCGAAAGGAAAACCTTCCTCAGAGTTCTCTGAGAGTTTATGACTTATGATATAGCGTTTGAATTTTCGCTCAGTGTACACGCATTTGCCAATTGCCGACCTACAGAAGAAGGTTCTTTCACGCGCCCCCGGACAATTTCAATGCCGGCCTGCCGATGACGATGATGACCACGATGTCTGCTCGGTGTCTGGACGTGAACGTGAACATGGACGTGGCCGTGGATGTGTATGTGGACGTGGACATGGCCAACAGCCCCCGTTTTGCCCCCGGAAGCCCCGCATCCTCGCGTTCATTCCGGAAGCGCGAACGCTTTCCACGTTCGATTTTTATGGCGAGCGCGCTGGATTCGAGTTCCTCATTCATTGTCTACTCGGCCGGCCACCTCTTCTTCCTTGCAGCTAGCTCTTCTTCTCGTTGGACACTGCGCCCGTCCCCCTGCAACCCCCTGTGCCTGACCCAAGCACTTGGCACGTTTCCTTTTTAAAATTCACAATTGCCGCCGCCGCCGCTGCCGTAATTGTGGGAGAATTCGCTACGCCAACTTGTCTCCTCTCCGCCATCTCACTCACTCTCTCCCGAGAAATCGATCACGTTTCGGTTTCTACACATGTTCCAGTTACGATACGCTTACGTAATGTCTACACCACAGCTCCTCCACCCTGGGATTGGGACTGGGGTTGGGGTTTCCGAAGGGGGCAAGCTTTAAATTGGCCGTGGTTAAGGCCAAGACAACGACTTTGCTCTAGTTTTAGCGAAAACAACGGAAATTGGTAGTGGAATTAGGTATCAGTGAAAAGGATGCCAGGATTCAATTTTTCCCGGTCAAAGAGGTCAAAAAGAATGGATTTGTGTCGTGGTGTTTTTTCTACAAAAACTAAGAAAATATATCTAAAATTAGAAAAAAGTATATATGAATTTAAGGCAAGGCTAATTCAAGACCAGCCACCATATTTAAAATTTGTTAGGGTTAATTTTTCTATTTATCCCGATTTGGGGGGTTTTTTTCTAATTGGCTTTGTTTAGATCCGTTCCTAATTCAATTAATTCATTTATGAAATATGTGATATTACAATGTGCTCTGTTAAATAGACATAGAAAAGCTTTCTAAATTCAAGAAAATAACCTTTAATTTTAGAAAAGTCTTCCTTTATGTTTTTCCACATTTCAATCAATGTCCTGTGTAAACTTTCCCCCATTTTCCCCATTTAGTTTTCAATGTTGCCAGTGCGATGGTGACCCACACCTTGATTATTGCGGGGGCCTTCTTTCCGTGGAAATTAAAAGGATGTTGCTCCTCCCGCTCTTAATGGAGGGGGGCAACTATGCACATAAAAGAGACAGCTTCTGTCTGTGCGAGTCCGGAATAACAAAACGTTCCCTGCCCCAGCCCCAGCTACCTGTACCCCTAGACCCCCCTCTCTCCTATGTGCTGCAGGTTTCAGGGTTTCAGGTTCATTCCGCAGGACATCCATCCGTAGGCTTTACTTCTTCGCTTCTCATTGGCATTTCAGTCACATACACAAACACACATAAAAAGGCGCGGCGACAGGAATAACACCCACGCAGCGGGAGCGAGCGAGAGAGAGGCGAATTCCCAAATGTGTAAAGAAGTAAACTAATTGCTGCGCGTGCAGCAGCGCCAAGCAAAAGCCCCATCGCCCTCTCTCTCTCTCTCTCTTTTTCTTTATGCCTCTCTGTCTTTTTTTGGAGTACATAAACGCAGGCGAGATGGGGAAAATGGGCGAGCGCGAATGAGATGGCGCTAGGCAAACCAGTTTTCCAACAGGCACGTACATCCAACCATCCCTTTCTGTCATCTCGCGCTGTCTCGCTTGCTCGCCCTCCTCTGATGGGGCTCATTTTGTATGCGCACTATGTCGATTCCGATTCGACGCCGCGTCACGTCCCGCCCATTTGCACGCACACACGCTCCCGCCCCTGTAGGTGTGTGTGTGTGCGGGTGTGTGTGTGTTGGAAAGCGTGAGGCTGCTTAAAATGCTACTGGCGCTCCTCGCACATGACTCTGCAGGCGGTCAGGTGCTGCTCACCCACACAGGCACATGCACCGGAGAAGTAGGGTGCCTCAATTTTTGTTGTGGGAAAAAGGAATTTGTAGAATTTATTATTTTAAAGATTATGGTTTGGATTTGACTATAATATATTTAGAAAGTAATCAATATTTGATTTAATACAAAAGAAAATAGTCCTTTGTTTAAAAAAACTTCAGTTTAGTTCTTCAGTACTATTTACTTGGGAATAATAGGCGAACTCTTGGCAATAATTTTTCACCACTCTTAATGTTGCCTCCTTTGAAAACGAGTCACCCTGCTGCTCTTGGCTAAGCTGGCGCCGTTGCTTCGGCTGCCTGCTCCACCAGCCTTCGTGCTTCGTGTTGCTGCTTCGGCTGCGAGTCTTGCCACCCCCGAATTTTAGCTGTGCCTTCTCGCTCGCTCGCACGCCCGGCTCTGCTGCTTCGCTGCCGCTCGCCTTTTGCCCTGCTTTGGTTTTGTTCGGCTCGGACTCGAACGTGACTCTGGGATTATTCTGCACGTACTCTTCGCCAGCGACGGACGTACCGTAGCTCTCCGTACTCCGTATTCCGATTCCGTACTCCGTTTTCCGTATTCCGTGGAGCGTTCCCCGTGCCAGCGTCATCAGCTGCAGTTTCACGTACGCAGCCCGGCCGTGCAAGTGCCTCCATATCCGTCTCTTTCGCTCCGGCTCCGGCTCTCCAGTGCGTACCCGTAATTGGCAGGTCTCCGTCGAACCCCAACCCGTACAGAAGCCCGGAGACGTGCCAAGTGCCGGAGATAAATGAACTGGACGCGGCGCGCCTCATTTGAATGCCAATCGATTGACGGCTAGTTTCCCGATCCGGATCCACATCCGCCTCCGTGCAGTGCGTGACCCGTAGTCGGTCGCTGGATAATTGGGGACACGTAGCACACGCGCGTCTGGTGTCACGGACACAAAAGGATGCGGCGGCCTTCGCAGCCCTGAATCCTACCTAGCCCAAGGCAGTTAAAGCAACCAAGTGCAATATACAGTAGTGAAAATGTGTTAAGTGTTAAGGACAAAAGGTCCTCCGCCAACTGCGAAAACTTGGAAGATACTCATAGAGACCAATTAGTGAAAAGACCCTTCCACAGCCAGAGCGACATGTTGCCGTATCAGGCTGCAGTGGCCATGGACTACGCCGGCTACCAGCGCCAGCCAACGCCCGGGCATCCTGGCTCTCACATGGCGACCATGGGCTCCCTGGCCATGCCGGCTGTGCCGTTCAGCCACAGCTGGATGGTGCCCACCCAGGACCTGTGCGCCATGCCGCCGTACAACAAGATGCCCGGACATCAGCAGCCGCCAGGACCCGGCATGCATGCCCAGCAACAGCCCATCGAACCGGGGTTAGTAGTCCGCGAAATAAGGATCTAAATAAACTATGTAGAGCGTCCCTCTTTATGTTATTAGGAATTATTAGCAAGATTGTAGTCAGGACCTTTAGAATACAATGGGATACACCCTTGTCTAAAGAAAAGGATTCAGTAATCCCCCAAAAGAAATTCTAAAAAAATACCCATGTTTGAAAAAAGCTCTTAACTTTGTTGAAATGTAGTCTTCTTTAAAAAAAAAAACCATTAAAACCCGATAAAGAATACCGCATTTAATGATAAAAGGCCTAAGATCGACAAGGCTTATCCTTACAATTTCCAAAGGTAAACCCCATCAAGTCATAAAACTTTAGCTTGAATTCATAGGATCCAAAAAGATTGAAAACATATATTTAGAAACGACTCGAAAATTTCGAGATTCTCAAATTTTGGATTCAATGATCCTTAAGGATTTACCCCACCTGAAGCAACACTGGCATTATTTGATTGTTTCAGCATAAAAAATAGTATATTTAAATGAGAAGCAGTTTAAAAATTTGAAATCATTTAATTTAAAAATAAATTGTAAGGAGTTTTGTCATAAATCTTATAATTTAATTTACAAATTCGATTTGAAACTGACATTTACTATTGGGATTATTCATTTACTTTGTTAAAGTAAAGTTTACACGATTTTCCAGACCAACGTAGGGCATTCAAGAAGTCCGAAGAAGCCTAAAGCGAAATTGTCGTCTTCATTGTGTACATTTTGTGGGCTCTTAAATTTATTTTAATGCGCTCATCACCGGCTTGAAGCTTCGTTTTGCGTAGCTTTATCTGAAGCCGCGTCGGCTTCTGGCTCTCAACTCGAGGCTCCGGTCTCCATCTCCAGTTGTAGCCTCGGTCCGGATTTCTGCGTCTTCGGCTCGGGCTTCGCGGCAATGGAGCTGGAGATCCGTATCGCAGCCGAGAAACCGTCATAAAAATATTTTTGATAATTAAAAAGAAACCCCGACTTGGGGCTTTGCCACGGGCCAAGCCAGTTTTCCCTTCGCCACTTGCTTTTTGTTTTAAAAGAGACGACAAGAACAGGGCATCAACAACAGCAATTTTAATTAGTTGTGTTGAAATTACGTTTAGTGAGATGTCAGTGTACCTGGCGGTATGTTACACGCCGTGTAAATGTTTTCCTAATAAAAAAAAGCGATACCGTTGAGGGAAACATTTTTTCCAAATTTAATTTTGGGCTAAAAAAAACATTAATCTTGGCCTCGTCAATACCGAAATACCATTCAAATCAGGCGGGGAGTGAGATGTGTCCGCATCGGAGGTGTTGCCTTGACAAATGATGTGCGGTCTCGATTTTAATTTCGCACGAAATTCGCCACTGTCTAACGGGGGAACAAATTGCCTGTCATTAGCAAAAATTGCCTAAAATTACGCACAAATTGCAAGTTATTGGACACAGGCATTGGTTTAGGGTATTTGTTCTCTAAAAAAGATGCTTGGTAAACCAATATAGGGAATAGTTAGGACCTCCAAAAATAGACCACCTTTTAGGTAACTCTCTTTTTTCAGTCCCTAAATGTTGTGTGTGAAATTTTCTTGGCTATCTCAATCTCTATATCCCAAATCCCTTGGGCAACTCTTTTTCCACTTGATTGGCACTGAGTTTGCAAATATTTTTATAGTAGTAGAACCCCGATAGGCAATTCGATTAGCGGCTTAATGCGGGAATTACAGGATCCCAAGGCAGTGTAAGCGGCTTACTGCGGTCATAGAAGGAGAGCGAAAGTCACCCAATCTTACTTTTTTCCTTTGTTTGTGCCTGGGTTCTCACAACACAGGACAACTCAAGGATAAAGGCTAGGGAATAAAGGATAAGAAGTGTGGCCTCGGGGCCTTTCCTTTGTCAAGGTAATAACAGCACTGAGTACCGTTATTGCTTTATCAGTGTTCTGACTCTCTTAAGAGCTCTCCTTTTTAGATATGGCAAGGACTCAGCGGGTCAGCTGTCCTTATGCAATTGCAATTCGAAGAAAACTAGAGAAGAATTATTACAGGAGATGTTTGTGTGGGTCCATTTCTTAAAGGATCTTTACAAAAATTATTAAATATAAATATAAACCTTTTGGAAACTCTCTTGAATCGCCATGCCCACCGAAGTTTGCGTAGCGCACACACTGATTTCACTGCAGGTCAAAACAGCAACCACAAAGAGTTGTCAACAAACTTAAATTATGAAGGCTTGAAGCCAAGTTTTTTTTCTGTTTCCGACGAAGATGCTCACAGAGAGATGGCCGCCAGCAGATAGCGGAACCGCAGAAGGCTGAGCAGATCCATATCCACATTCACAGCCACATCCACATCAACTGTCTTGGGGATCGGCGGCGGTGAATGAAAAGCTTTCTGGGCATTTAGGGAAAATAATATAACAAAACTGGAGGTGAGGAGGAGATGGGATCGTTTTGGGAGGCGGCATTTTCACAGGGATTCGGGGGAGATGTGTGCTGGGAAATCGTAATGAAAACATCAGCGGATGTCTAGAAGCTCGGACTGGGAAAAACTATCTCACCCGCTCACTGGCGACAAATGAGTAGCCATTTGTCCAGGGACAAACTGTTGTCTGTGCTAGCTATTGTGCCCCAGAGACCCTAGGAACCGTTCACCCCACCCTCGCCGAGAGCGCTGAAAGGCTGACAAATGCTGGGCAATTAGTTAGGGTTTCGGTTTGACACCATTCCATCACAAAAAGCCGTCGGGTTTGGCCAAACAAATGGCCGCAAACGCGACTCTGACAGGTGCGAAGAGGAGTCTTCTCTTCGGAGCGATCGGAGTCCCCTTTTATTATTCCTCTCTGCCATTCGTCAGTGTCTACTTATGTAAACTGATTTATTTTCCCCTATATTGTCCCTTTAATATTGTATTTATAATAATTCCTACTTATTTATTGACAGCATCCTGGAGCTGCGCAAGGAAAAGTCGAGGGATGCGGCTAGATCGCGTCGGGGCAAGGAGAACTACGAGTTCTACGAGCTGGCCAAGATGCTGCCCCTGCCGGCAGCCATCACCAGTCAGCTGGACAAGGCGTCCATCATAAGACTGACCATCAGCTATCTGAAGCTAAGGGACTTTTCCGGACACGGCGACCCGCCATGGACAAGGGAGGCCTCCAGCAGCAGTAAGCTCAAAAGTGAGTACAAACCGAGAACAGCCGGAACTCCAACTAATATAATAACTAACAGGACCATTAGAAAGGTTATAAGTCAATGATTACACTTCGATTTAGACACAGAATAAGATCCCTCCGCTTCTTTCGATTTAATCTAGTAAAGCCCGGAAACTCCCAATTTATATTAGTAAATATCATTAGGCACCTCCAAAAAAGTGTGTGTATTTAAAGAGAAATTTACATTGGCTTATTTGCATTTGGTGGCGGCGACTGTACGCGAAGACGACCGCCATATTGGCGGCCATTGTCGATCGGTTGTTGGTTGTTTGGGGGGACAAAAGGAGAAGGCAGAGAGGGGGTCCAATGAGCGGCAATAAAACCGAAAGCGGAGACATGGCTTGAGTGAAATCAAAACTATACCTCATTTTTTGCACAAGCTGTCTATGACAGAAGTTATGCTCATAACGCGCACCTTAAAATGCGGCCGAGTCAGCTCAAGCGGTTCGTATCTTCCAACTGCTTTTGTACTTTGTTTTGGGCTTTAGCCAAATTTGCATAAAATATCGTTATTAAGCGCAATTTATTTTTATTTGCTGCGCATGCGCGACCATTTTCGGTGCCAGTCTTGCGTGTGTGACAGTTTGTGGAATTTCAGAAGGCCCCATTAAAGTGATCGATCGATTGGCTGCCAGAAGCCAGTCACTGATTACTGTTCTTGAGAAATAATTGAAATAAACGGTGGATGATTCATTCCACAAATAATAATGTAAATTTAATTTAATCCCAACGAAGAACCCCTCACAGTTGTCGACACTTAGCCTCGCATTAAAGCCTAACATTAGGGCAAAGTACAGAGATATTCATGGGGTTTGAGTTGCCCAATACAGCAACACAGAGTTTTTGTTGCCAGCTCAAAGTGCTATGTATACCATCCAAGCAATTCCTCGCCCGAGCCAAGCCAAGCCACGTCATGCTCCGGCAACGTTGACAATGCATTGTCACGTCAAGTGAAAAAGGCATTCCACGACGACAGCCCACGACTTGGCCAGGTCTCAGACAGTATTCAAAGGCTGCCAACTGGCAACTCAACTGGCGAGAAGTGCACTTACAGAAAAACATGAAAGAAACCTATACCATAATGAAGACGAGCTTGTAAGCAATATAATAATTAGTTACAAGATGCAGGAGCCAGTTTTAAAATAGGTCTTCCCTTAAGACCTGTTCAGTATTAATTTATAAAAATATTTAAACTCATTTCAAGGATGAAAACCATGAAGAAATCAGCCATTAAATTCACATTGAATAATATTTATTTTTGTTGCCGTGCGTCAACTGCCAAAGTGGCCAAGTGGAAGCGGACAGAGCAGAGCCAGAGCCAAAAGGTAGTGGCGTGAGGCGGCAGGGCCATCAAAAAGCCAAAAAGGTAGTCAAGGCACTAAAAAATAATCCAAAATCAATGGGGCGTTATGTATGGAAGGCGGCGGAAGGCAACGCCTTCATCCATTCAATTGGATTATTATGCGAAACTAAACCCAGGAAAGCAGAAGGAGCCGGAGCCGGAGCCGGAGCTGGAGCAACAAGCTGCGGGGCAATAAAAAGCACTTCAATTTGACCCACAGTCACGGCAAAAAAGAGCCAGAGAGTGGGTGCTGTTGCTCGGTGGGTGGAAGGTCATTAAGGCAGGCGCAGCCACATATGGCAGAGTCCGAGCGGAAGCGGAAACTGTTTGCCAACTTAGCGCGTCGACCGCTGCAAGTCGCTGGGGAATCGCGCTCGAATACGAGATGGAGAATATGTATGTGTTTGCGGGGGAAAAATATTTGAAATGGTCTGAAGGGCCCTTCGATTTGCACTTGTGCGAATTATGACTCGGCCCGGTCGGTTGGTCGGTCAGTCGTCGTCCATAATCGTAAAATTCTATAATTGAATTAAATAAATATACGCCTCCTCCGCTGGATGTGGGTTTGGGCATCAGCTGAGGAAATATTGAATGTCCGTTTTGATATTTACGATGCCCTGCGGTTATCCTCCAAGTTCCTGTTGTCTTTTCCTGGGTTACGGGGGGAGTGATCACTTATGAGGTCTGGGAGTGAGCCATAACTCAAGGGGGGCACCGAAACATAGGCTTACTGGGAGGGAAAAATATTTATTTATTTATTGTTGCTCGGCCTAAACAAGAGCTACTCGAATTGATCAAATAAAGGTATAGAGGATGGGTTTCTAAAAGGGATTCTGTGGTTTGTAACAATAGGAATACAGCTTTATAAATATTAATTTTTAGTTTCCAAGTTAAAGATTATTTCCCCTTGATTTGTCTTAATTTTAATACAATTTTAAATATATAATTTTCTCGTTAAAAGACTAGATTAGCTTGTAATGAAACATTTTTCCCAGTACATTGTTTGCAACCCTTTCTAAACTAAACACCGCCTCCACTTTCTCTCCAGGTGCCGCCATCCGTCGCAGTCCCGCCGTTGATTTGTTCGAGCAACATCAGGGCACCCACATACTGCAGGTAAGCACACCGCAGGGTTCGCCATCATGACGATATGCTAATCCAGAACCCCTCCCATTCTCCATTTCCAGTCTCTGGATGGCTTCGCCTTGGCTGTGGCGGCGGACGGCCGCTTCCTGTACATCTCGGAGACGGTGTCCATATACCTGGGCCTGTCGCAGGTGGAGATGACGGGCAGCAGCATTTTCGATTATATCCATCAGGCGGATCACTCGGAGATTGCCGAGCAGCTGGGCCTGAGCCTCACAAGCGGCGGTGGCAGCAGTGGGGGAGGCGGTAGCTCCGGTGGAGGCGGCGGCTCGGGAACGGGCATGGCCTCGCCCACATCCGGAGCCTCGGACGATGGCAGCGGCACACACGGTACGAACAATCCCGACGGTGAGTCAAGTCCGAGTTGTCCAAACACCAGGAGCGGGGAGAAGTCCTGGGGTGGGTTGTCTTAAATTCTGAAATCCTTTACAAGGGATGTTCAGGAGGACAGGAATCGTAGTTCCCTCAAAAGGAATTTGTGCTTAAGGGAGAATGAGGAATGGCACAGAAAATCAAACATATTTTCCATGAGAGAGAGAGAGCGGGACTTATCGCCTTGAAAGGCTAATCCAAACTAATCCGCGAACTTCTTCCCAATCCCATTCCAGTGGCCGCCTCCATGACCCAGGCCTCGACGAGTGGCTACAAGGGCTACGACCGCAGCTTCTGTGTGCGGATGAAGTCGACGCTGACCAAGCGCGGATGCCACTTCAAGTCCTCTGGCTATCGGGTGAGTCTCCAGTTCCCACTACTTCCTATTCCAAGTCTTTCGAAGAAGCTATACCCTTCCGTTTTTATTGGTTTCCCCTTTGTTTTGTTTATTTTTATTGTTATTATTTTCTGTAGCCACTTTGCTAACTGAATAGTTGTTGTTTTCGGGGACGTTATGTTTTTCTTTGACCTGAATGTAGTGTGTAAGGGAGTAAGAGACTAACTAACCCTAGAAGTCTAGCCTAGAAGTTGTGTTGTGTAACCTGCATTGCCCCTTTCTGTATTACGTATTACCATCCCATCCACTGCTTATCTACAGGCCAGCGATGCAACGAGCAATTGCAACCACGCTAGTAACAATGCCAATGCTAATTCAGCGGGCAATGCTAAAAACGTTAAGAATCCGGGCTCAAACTATTCGGTACGTATCAATTGAAATCAGTACGTTTGTATGCTAGACTGCTAACAGCAAAATCAAAATCAAAATCAAATTACAAAATTACTTACTTACTGAGCGATTCGTTTTTTAAGTTCGTTACCAACAACTATTTCGGCCATAACTTTTGTGTTTGCTAAAAGAAACGATAAAGAGAAAAGAATGACTGATTTTAGATTGATCAGTATCGAATAACTAGTGCGGAAGCTGCTTCATTCATCCACCAATCAATTAATCAAATCACCATCCATCAGCGCGATCACCACATACGCTCTATTACAAGGTTCTACAGTTTTGTTGTTGTTGAAGAAGAAAGCCTTTACACTCGGCTAATATATTTTTATCTAATATAGAGCTTATCTATTATATATATAATATATATATATTTTTTTTTTAATATTATTAAAATATATATAAATTATATATTTTAATATTTTATATTCTTTAAAAATCCAATTAAGAGGTTACAACAATTCATCACGATCTTAATTACAATGAGTTTCGAACAGTACATATTTTTCCTGCACAATTCTAAATTTTAAATAAAAAAATTTAACTAAACTATAATTATTATAAATAATATTAAAGCTTATAACGAAACATGGTATATAGAATGTACCTCCTGCCTGAGTGTAAAGGTGTTTCCTGGCCCAAATCCCTCAGAATTCCTTCTTCTTCGCTCAGCACACCTCGTTAAGTTCGTAGGCTACCCTGAGTGGTGCCGTGGATTCCGATGCTCCAACTAACCAGCTCTTGGCCTCGTTCTTGGAACCTTTGCAGGTGGTCCTTCTCCTGTGCAAACTGCGTCCCCAGTACACTTTCTCCCACAGCCGCAAATCGCAGCCGCCGCTCCTTGGAATGGTGGCCTTGGCCATTGCCCTGCCGCCGCCTTCGGTGCACGAGATTCGGCTGGAGTGCGATATGTTCGTGACCCGGGTGAACTTTGACCTTCGAGTGGCCCACTGTGAGCCGAGGTAAGCCAGCATCAGCTTTACTTTTAAATGCTTCTTCGACTAATAAATGCTTTCTTTCCTGTAGGGTTTCCGATCTCCTGGACTACACGCCGGAGGATTTGGTCAACAAGAGCCTGTACTCGCTGTGCCACGCCGAAGATGCCAACCGCCTGCGCAAGAGCCACACGGATCGTAAGTGGATTTAAAATGAATTCAAATTTAAAATAAAGAGACAATTCATGGTCCTTTTTTTTAAATTATATTATTTATTTATCTTAATTTATCTTATATATATCTTAATTTTAAAAGGTTTATAAAAGTATCATCCAGACTTATTTTTGAACAAGTTTTATCCATCCATAAAAGTGTATTAAGTTTACCTAATTCATATATCTTTCCCTCCTTGTACAGTGATCGAGAAGGGTCAGGTGCTGACCGGCTACTATCGACTGATGAACAAGAGTGGGGGCTACACCTGGCTGCAGACCTGCGCCACCGTCGTATGCAGCACCAAGAATGCCGATGAGCAGAACATCATCTGCGTGAACTATGTGATCAGGTGAGTGTCTCCTTACAAGTACCTCAAAAGTTAATGGTTTTAAGCGCAAGCCATACACTATGAGTTATTTTTAAGAAGCAGTAAAGTTTTAAGTTTAACTAACGCCTTATTGCATCCTCAGCAATCGGGAGAACGAGAACCTGATCCTGGACTGCTGCCAGCTGGAGCCCAGCGTGGACAGCATTAAGCATGAGGAGAGCTTGGGCAACGATAAGAGCAGCGGCTCCCCGGGCGGCGATGCTCCCGGAGAGGGCAACCCGCACCTAAGTGCCGGCGACATGAAGCTCAACTCGCCGAAAACCGATCCCGATGGCCATTCGCACCGCGGGCGAGGACGCAGTGCAGCGGCCTCTCACGGCAGCAGTCTCAATAGCCTCAGCCTGATCAAGGATAGTCCAACGCCGCTCGGCGTTGAGATCGAAGCTGGTGTCGGTGTGCTGCCCACCACAGTGGCCACGCCAGTGCCGGCAGCCACGCCCAACGGCAGCAGCTCCAATGCCGGCAGCGGTGGAGCGACCACCAAGAGGAAGCGCAAGACGAAGGCGGCCCAGCAGGCGGAAGATCAGGAACGTCAGGAGCAGGCGATGCCGGAGCAGCCACTGCCCAAGCTACCGGCCATGGAGCAGCGCGACCAGCAGCAGCCCCGCAGCCGCCTGCCTTCGCTCGTTGACGAGCAGCAACCCGCCTCTTCGGCGGCGGACTCGGCAGTCAAGGACCTGGAGCATGCCATGTCCAAGCACCTGCCCTCGCCGGTGGCGGTGTCTGTGGCTCCGCCGCCCAGCACCGACTTCAGCGCGGACTCCCTGCTCAAACAGCAGCAGCAGCAACAGCTGGATCCCAACGAGAAGAGCAGCACGATCCAATGGATAGGCACGCCCTACCAGCAGCCGCCGGCACCCATGCCAGCCACGGCCCTCCTCCGGCAGCTGTACGCCAACCGGGAAAGCGTAATCCGGGCCACGGCTCGCCAGACGCCGACAGGCGTCGGCCCGGGCGTGTTCTACGGGGACCAGCAGACGGGACCCTTGCCCACGCCGCCGGGCAGTGAGTCCTCCTACGAGAACCAATACCTGCAACTGCACTCGGCCGCCTCGGCTGGCGGACATCCCGGCAGCGGCCAAAAGACTTCTGCCGATGCCTTCACCAATCTGGTGTCCACCTACGGGGGCTATCACAGCTCCATCGACTACCACAACGCCATGACCCCGCCCAGCTCAGTGTCCCCGCGAGACTCCAATCAGCCCGGCAAGGCGGCGCCCGTGCTCACCTCGAATGGCGGTGGCTACGACTATGCCCCCGATCCGCTCCGGGGCCAGTATGCGACGACATCCGGAGACGGAGGAGTGTTGCCAGCGACGTTGCCTCTGAAGCCGCAGGCCTACACGGCTGCCATGCACCCGTCGTCCACCACCACCGAGGGCGGAGTCACCTACAGCAATCTAGACCAGCCGCAGTACTTTGCGCCGCACTCGAGCTTCCATCTCTACCACAAGGGCAGCCCGACCAGCGGTTGGTACTCCACGCCCTCCTAGGTGCTAGACGATCAGGGCCAGGCCCACTCCTATCAGGAGCAGCATCATTTCCAGCAGCAGCAGTACCAAGATGGCAGGCAGAGCCAGGCGCCGGGCGGCGATAGATGGGACTTTGTGGGGGCGCTGGGCAAGGTGGCCAGGATGTTCTTCAGCGCCAGGAAGGGGAATCCGGGATAGAGCGAATAGGTTTGCTAGGACTGGTTGCTCCTCAGGATGAGGCACTCCCCCACTAGCAATCCATAGAGCGTTAAATGAAACATTAAATGTTGTTAAATAATTCTTAAGTCTGTAAATTATGAAACACGTAGCGCACACTGAGACACCCAATGAAATTATACGCAAGAATACTCAAAACGCAATTAATTAAACACAAACTAACTAACAAGTAACGTGTAATGAGTAAGGCTAAAGTAAATTGAAATATAAACTAAGACTTGCATAGAGTGCCAAGGAACAGAGAACATGAATCCCAGCTATGAGGAACGGCTTGAACCCAACCCTCTCCCCCTCTATCTCTCTCTCTCTTGTTATTAATTATTTAAATAAATTGTAATTTTACCGATACATAGGCACGCGCGTATATAAGATTAACTCATTACAACATATAGTATCCCTAACATACACATAAATATATTTAATGACATTTTTACAACATATCAAATGCTTCCTCCTGTAGGTCCTAGGATTTATGTGTAATCGAGCAGCGATTCGACTCGGTTATAGTATCTCTAAGAGTTCTGCTAATGTTCGTCTAACTCCGTTTCCTCCCTATTGTATATTTAATGAATCTAATAGCTAAAAACAACAAAATACCGAAAAAAAACAAACAACAAAAAGCAAAGACCGAGCAAAAAATCTGTAATTAAATTTTGTATAGAAGCAACAAGAAAGTTTCTCCCATTAAAGGCTTAAAAAAATATTGAATTTAAAAGTTGTCTACTTATTACTTAAGGAATACCTAAAGGGGCATATCAATAGAATATTTTATTATATTTATACCTTTGCAGGGTATTATAATTTCAGTCAGAAGTTTGCAACGCAGTGAAGGAGACGTTACCGACCCTATAAAGTATATATATTCAGCATCAACAGCCGAGTCGATCTAGCCATTTTATATAAAAAATATAAAATATAAAAAATCCGATTTTATAATACAAAATAATATTTTTCTAAGTCAAGGAATCATTTCCGACCCCTTAAACCATATATATTCTTGTTCAGCATTAACATGCGAATCTTTCTAGACATGTCAGGAAGAAATCGATTTTTTGGCCATTTTTGCAAAATTTTATAAGGGGTTACATCATTAAAATTTTTGATTTTGATAAAAAATTGAATTTTCAAAATTTTTTAACGAAGTATGCAGATTTATTAACTGTAGAAAATCTTGCACATAACAGTTTTCCGATTTAAAATTAATGCTCTTTTGGCCGAATTATGATATTTTTAATTAAAAAAAAAATCAAAAAGTTTTTTAATATAAAAAATCAGGCTTTATAATACAAAATAATATTTTTCTAAGTCAAGGAATCATTTCCGACCCCATAAACCATATATATTCTTGATCAGCATTAACAGGCGAATCTTTCTAGGTATGTCAGGAAGAAATCGATTTTTTGGCCATTTTTTCAAAAATTGATAAGGGGTTACATCATTAAAATTCTCAAAAATGACCAAAAATTTTGATTTCATAAAATTTTAAATTTGATATGCATTTTTTTTAAATTAATAACAACTAACACAAAACTGATTTCCGAATCGAAATTAATGCATTTTTGGCTTAGTTATGATATATTTTAATTGTTACCTGCAAGGGTATACAAACTTTGGCTGGCCAAAGTTAGCTTTCTTTCTTGTTTTTATTATTATTTGAGAATTCGTATTTCAGCTGATGAATCCCTGATCTCTGACTTTTTTAAACCTCACCTAAAGACTTTAATTAAATAAATTAGTTTTGAGATTTTATGTTTTTAATTTATTTTTTCTTTACATACGCGTTACAAGACGACTTTCATGGAAGTCCAGGGCTAAGGGAAAGAAACGGAAATCGAATTTGATACAAAAGTTTTCCCGATTGACCTTTATATATATACAATTCATATGTACAGTAACAGATTCTTAAGGATATACAGTAAATATGTACAGAAACAAAACAGACAAGAGTTTGAAGAAAATATTTGTATATGTATGTATCTTTGGTGTAGGCCAAAGTCGTAGAGAGAGGTCCTATTGAGGGAGTCAGGATCATTTGGGGTGGCATTAAAGCAAGAAAAAAATATATAAAACTCCACGGACTGACTCGGATGTTTAACAATATTTGTAATAAGATATTATAAAAACTTGAAGCTACAGAAATTCCAAGGAGGCTTCCTCCCTCCTTCTCTCGCTCTCTCTGCGATTTTGGTATAAAACTTTCTTACGATTAAAACTATGCGGCACTTTGTGTGTATTTGATGAGTCTCCCAAAGAAACCCCTCCTTTCATATGTACAATTTGGTTCTCCTGCTTAAGAAGCAGCCTGCAGGTCCACCTTTGTACTGGAATGTGCGCGCACCACCTGGCTTTCCGTCTTGATCTGGGAGGAGTTTGCCGCGGGGGCTTGAGCCCCAGCTGGTGCTGATGCTGGTGCTTCGTGCTTGGCCTGATGAACCTGCAGCAGGCCTTGATTAATGCTCGTGAAGCTGCACTGGTCGCACTTGTAGATGATCGAGGATAGCTCCTGCTCGGGATGGCGCTTCTGGAGGTGTATCTGCATCGAGTGAAGGGAATGGTAAGAAACAGTTTGTGGAGAAAACTTACAGAATGCGAACCCGAAAGGCGGTGCTCTGGATGGCCTGGAAGTCACAGTGGGGACAGGAGTAGCGTTTGTGCTCCTTGTGCGTGCCTAGATGCCGCCGGAAGGCGTTGTGATCGCTCGTCTCATGGTCACAGATGTCGCAGCGGAATCGCTTTCGCTCTTGATGCGTCCGCAGGTGCAGGCGTAAGCTGCTCTTCGAGCCAAACACCCGCTGGCACTCGGAACACTCGAGCTGCTCGTTGCGCTCCTTGCACAGGTGCTCCCGCAGGGTCTTCCGCTGCTTGAAGGCCGCGCCGCAATCCTCGCAGCGATGCATCAGAACGGCGGCGTCTGTGCCGGGGGCGGAACCCCCCAGCTGCTGCTGCTGTTCCTGCTCTGCCTGCCCAGGTTTGCCCATGCCTAGCCCCTGGGTGCGATGCAGCCGGCGGTGGTTCTTCAGCTGCTTCGTGTTCTTGAATCCCTTGCCGCACTGCTCGCACTTGTAGTTGCGCTCCTCCGAGTGGATCTTGGCGTGCGTGTTGACCAGCCGCGAGTAGATGGGCGTCTTGAAGCTGCACAGCTGGCAGCAGTACAGCTCCATGTCGATCTGGTGGGTGCGCCACAGGTGCGTGTGCAGGCAGTTCCAGTTGCTAAAGTCGCTCGACTTGCACTCCGGGCAGATCATCGGCTGGCTGGAGCTGGGCAGCCCGTTGTGGCACCTTCCGTGGTACTCCAGGGTGGCGGGCGACTTGAACCGGAACATGCAGCCTTCCACCTGGCACTTGCCACCCTCGGGCACCTGGCCGGAGCCTGGCGGTGCCCTCCTTTTTGAGGATGCACTGCCACCCGAGTGCTTGGCCCCGTAGGGACGCCCGCGGACGGAGGTTCCTCCGGGCATTGGTGGCTCGACGGCAGCGGGCAGCAGATTGCTGGCCACATATATGCGGGCGGGCTTTTCCGCAGGCGTTGGCATGGCTTCCGCCGCCAAAGGCACAAGTGGAGGGACAGGCAAGCTGCTCAGAGATGTGCTCTGGGCCGCTACAGGCGTTCCACCGGAGGTTGTGACGGGCACCAGAGGTGGCACCACATCTGCCCCTGCTCCTACTTCAGTCCCTGTGCCTTGAAAATCCTCCGGGGGCGAGACATACAGCTGCGGAAAGTCCTTGACGAGTAGATCCTCGGCAGCGTGCGAGAAACCCTCAAGTTGGGGCGTGTCTCCACCTACATCGCCTGCCACCTCGTTGGGAGGGGCGAGGGTACCAACTTCGGCATCTGGCACAGCGTCCTCTATCCAGGGCCAGCCCTCGAGGTCCTCGGCCAGGTCGTAGCCATCCTCGCTGGGCCAACTCCCACTGATGGAGGGCTGAAAGTCGCCCAGTGACTGGGGATCCAGCTCCAGTGGCTGCTGTTGCTGCTGCTGATGGTGCTCCACGGCCGGCAGATCCATCATCGACATGGCCCCCATGGGCTCCAGATTGGGCACTATCAGGTGCTCCACCTCAGTGCGGTTCATCAGGTTCAGCTCGTCCACGGTGCGCAGATGCAGCGTTCCTCTTTGCGGGGCCTTCAGGATGTCTACGTTTTTGATGAAGATCTTCTGCTTCGTCGTGATGGGAGCAGTTGCCGTGGGAGCCGCCAGGTAGTGCTCCATTTGAACGGGCTGCGACCCCATGTGTGGCATAGGAGCCTCCATGGAGCCATTGAGGGGCGGCGGAGGCGGTGGAGTCTCGTCCGAGACAAAGTCCACGCCAAAGTCAAGGTCTAGGGCGCTGAAACGTGTGTTGTCCAGGCCGGAAACCGCTCCTCCATTCCCATTAAGCACCGAGTCAAAGGGAAAGACCTCCGAGCACATTTGGGCCAAGGGAGCGAGACTGGGCTCAAAACCCGGAAGCGGGCAAGTGGGCGTCAGTAGGGGATCTGCTTGGAAGACGTCTCCTCCTCCCACGTCCCCTGCCATTACTCCCGGAACCCCCTGGCCCACTGTCGCCGGGAGACCACCGTTAAAGCCCATTCCAGGCAGGGCGGATGGCAAAACCATTGGCTCCTTGAGAATGTCTACGTTGCGGATGTAAATCTTTGGTTGGCGCGGCTTTTCGGGCACCACACCCACTATGGGAACGTCCAGCAGGCTGTTGGACGTTATGAGCGACTGATCCGGCAACTGGAAGTCGAAGGGCAGCAGCGCCGGCTCCCTAAGCACGTCGACGCTCTTGATGGAGATCTTCTGGCTGGGTTTCGGTGGCGGTGCTGCTGCTGGTGCACTCGCCGGTGCTGGTGGCATGGCCTGTTCGTTGGGCGAAGCGCCTACCGCCACGCCTTCCAGGAGGTCCAGGATGTTGCCGGCACAGCCGCTGTCTGGCATCAGGGGCGGAAAATCTGGCAGGGAGTTCACGTTCACCTGTTGCTGCTGTGGCTCGCGCAGACAATCCACGCTCTTGATGAAGATGCGGCTCTTGGGCAGGCCTTGGCCTTGGTTCTGGGCCTGCGCCTGCTTCTTAACGTGGACTTCGTTGGGTTTCTCGCTGAGCAGCGCCAGTATCTCATCGTCCTCCAGTTGGTGATCCAGGCTGAGGTGCAGGCTAAGAGCATCGCTGCTGTAGAATACGTTGGAACAGCCTATCGGGGAGTAACGAAAATTATGAGACGGCAGTCCTGAAGCCTACGATCATGACCTCACCCGGACACGGTCGCCGCCGCTGGGCACTCCATCCGTAGCAGCTGGCCAGGTGCAGGTGCTGCTGCAGCCTCACCTGGCAAAGGCTGAGAAAGGGACAATTGGGGCAGCGTAGGATCAGAGGCGGGCCGGAGCTATCCGCCTTGCCCTCCACACTTTGGCAGCTGGAGTTACGGGTGGGCGGCGTGGGCGTAGCATTCAGACGCTCCTTGGCGGCGGCCTCCGCCAGCTCCGACTTGATCAGCTCCGCCTCCGATTTGATCTCGGCGGTGCGTCTGCGAAAGGCGTTGCGGTAGCTCTTCTCTGGCTGCTGCTGCAGGTCCGTTGTGTGGATCTGTACAAAAGGAATGCCCTCCGTCGGAGGCGGCGCTGCCGTTGCCTCTCCATCGGGTAGCCAGACAGCGGTAGCGGCTGTGCTCCCAGGTGCTGCAGAGTTGGTGGAAGCGTTGCCGCCGATGCCCAGCTCGTCGTCGAAGAATCCGTTGAAGGTGGTGGAATCGTTCTCCTGGGCGTGAACTGGCGTGGAGAGCGAGAGGTCCGGGAGCAAGTGCAGCTAGAAGACACACGGCGTGGTTTTGTGGCCAGAAGAACTCGCGGGGTGCTCACCTGGTGGCTCACCTGGCTGCTATTGCTGCTGCCGCCGTAGAAGCCCGGATAGGCCGCATAGCTCATGGTGGCTCCGTGATCCTGGCTCCAGGTACCGGTCCTCGGGTTTCCGGTGGCGGGGCCGTCAATTCCGCATTAAAATTTCCATTACGCAGGGACAAAAACTTTTTTGGTCTTCAACTGATAGCGAACATCTGTTCATCCCGCCATCCCCGTCTGGCAACGCCAGGATCCTCGTTGAAGCTATCGATATAATCGATATACTCGATATACTCGATAACAACTCCCACCTCTAACCGGCTGCTATCGGTCTCTAGTGAAATTAAGCAAAAAGCGAATTTGTATTTCTTGGGACTTTAATTAAGAAAATTAAGCCAAAATGCCGCGAATTATGATCAAGGGAGGCGTGTGGCGCAACACGGAGGTAAGTGCCCAGGCAGTTGCTAGTTTTTCGCACTCCTAACGACTCTCCCCACCCCAGGATGAGATTCTCAAGGCGGCGGTAATGAAGTACGGCAAGAACCAGTGGAGCCGCATTGCCTCGCTGCTGCACAGGAAGTCCGCCAAACAGTGCAAGGCCCGCTGGTACGAGTGGCTGGATCCCAGCATCAAGAAGACAGAATGGTCGCGCGAGGAGGACGAGAAGCTGCTGCACTTGGCCAAGCTGATGCCGACGCAGTGGCGGACCATCGCCCCCATTATTGGACGCACGGCGGCCCAGTGCCTGGAACGCTACGAGTACTTGCTGTGAGTGGTCTTGTGCTTTTAGCCCGGAAAGATCATTACTAATTACTAATTTCCGCCTTGCAGCGACCAGGCCCAGCGCAAGGAGGATGGCGAGGATACCATGGACGATCCGCGCAAGCTGAAGCCCGGCGAAATCGATCCCAACCCGGAGACCAAGCCGGCGCGACCCGATCCCAAGGATATGGACGAGGACGAGCTGGAGATGTTGTCAGAGGCCCGAGCCCGTCTGGCCAACACGCAGGGTAAAAAAGCCAAGCGAAAGGCGCGCGAGAAGCAGCTGGAGGAGGCACGTCGCTTGGCCACGCTCCAGAAGCGACGCGAACTGCGTGCCGCCGGCATCGGAAGCGGGAACCGCAAGCGCATCAAGGGCATCGACTACAACGCGGAGATTCCCTTCGAGAAGCGCCCTGCCCTGGGCTTCTACGATACCGCAGAGGAGCACCTGCAGAAGAAGGAACCGGACTTTAACAAGATGCGACAGCAGGACCTGGATGGGGAGCTCCGCTCCGAGAAGGAGGAGCGCGAGCGCAAACGCGACAAGCAGAAGCTAAAGCAGCGCAAGGAGAACGAGGTGCCCACCGCCATGCTGCAGAATATGGAGCCGGAGCGCAAGCGATCCAAGCTCGTGCTGCCCACGCCGCAGATCTCAGACACGGAGCTGCAGCAGGTGGTCAAGCTGGGGCGCGCCAGCGAAATGGCCAAAGAGATCGCCGGCGAGAGCGGCATAGAAACGACAGACGCCCTGCTGGCGGACTACTCTATTACACCCCAGGTGGCGGCCACTCCGCGCACGCCGGCTCCCTACACCGACCGCATCATGCAGGAGGCCCAGAACATGATGGCCCTCACGCACACGGAGACGCCGCTCAAGGGCGGTCTGAACACCCCGCTGCACGAGTCCGACTTCTCCGGCGTCCTGCCCAAGGCGGCCTCCATTGCCACTCCCAACACGGTGATTGCCACGCCATTCCGTACGCAGCGCGATGGCGGAGCAGCCACGCCCGGGGGCTTCCTCACGCCCTCGTCGGGCGCCCTGGTTCCAGTGAAGGGTGCCGCGGCCCCTGGGGCCGCCAACACTCCGGCCTATGTGCGGGACAAGCTGAGCATCAATCCCGAGGAGAGCATGGGCGTCACCGAGACGCCGGCCGTGTACAAGAACTACCAAAAGCAGCTGAAGTCCACGCTTCGGGAGGGCTTGTCGACGCTGCCCGCTCCGCGTAACGACTACGAGATCGTGGTGCCTGAGCAGGAGGACAGCGAGCCGATGGAGGTCGGCACAGAGCCCGCCGTGGAGGATCAGGCAGATGTCGACGCTCGACTGCTGGCCGAGCAGGAGGCGCGTCGAAAGCGGGAGCTGGAGAAGCGCTCGCAGGTAATCCAGCGCAGCCTGCCGAGACCCACGGAGGTCAACACTAAGATCCTGCGGCCGCAGTCGGAAAAGCAGAACCTGACGGAGCAGCAGCAAGCCGAGGAGCTTATCAAGCACGAGATGATCACGATGCAGTGTGAGTATAACCTGGTAATCCCCATGAAGTCGCCATACCTATACCAAAATCTCCTCGCAGTATACGACTCTGTGAAGGATCCCGTGCCAGGACAGTCGCAGCACAAGCTGGAGCAGCTGCAGAGCTACTTCAAGGCCAATCCGTATGAGGACATCTCGCAGCAGGAGCTGGCCAAGGCCCGGCAGATGCTCAACGAGGAAATGGAGGTGGTGAAAGAACGCATGTCGCACGGCGAGTTGCCGCTGGACGTCTACGCCCAGGTGTGGCAGGAGTGCCTCGGACAGGTGCTCTACCTGCCCTCGCAGCACCGATATACACGTGCCAATCTGGCCAGCAAGAAGGATCGCCTAGAGTCGGCCGAGAAGCGCCTGGAGACGAACCGCCGGCACATGGCCAAGGAAGCCAAGCGGTGCGGAAAGATCGAGAAGAAGCTTAAAATCCTCACCGGCGGCTATCAGGCGCGAGCTCAGGTGCTGATCAAGCAGCTTCAGGACACCTACGGCCAGATCGAGCAGAACACCGTCTCGCTGTCCACATTCCGCTTCCTAGGTGAGCAGGAGGGCATTGCTGTGCCGCGTCGGCTCGAGTCGCTGCAAGAGGATGTGCGCCGCCAGATGGACCGCGAGAAGGAGCTGCAGCTGAAGTACGCCAGCCTGGTGGAGGAGCGCGATTCCCTTTACTCGCAGATCGAAGCCATCACAGGCGTTCGCCCCACGGCCCAGCAGCTTCTGCCCGAGCAGGATCAGGTCTAAGTGGGAGCTTCGGTCCGCTAAGCTCAGCCTCAAGTAAAACAGAACTTGGGCCAAATCTAAAACCTTTACTTGGCGATTTTGAACAACCCGAATCTTGACATTAACGAATCAAGTTAACAGATACCTAGGATCTGCCCGGGAGAGCGGAGGGAGCATATTATAAGCAAATATACTTTACATTTTAAACGATTATTTGATTTATCTTTATTTTTCATTGGCACTTTCTTAAATATAACACTTTTGCTGGGAAATTGAAGACCGCTGATCCTCTAGTTGGACTGTAAACTTTCCTTCTGCGCCAGATACAATCGCGCCTCGTCGGCCTATAATCAAAGAGCTTAGATTAGATACGGGCGGGTTTCTATGAAAATAAAAAGAGATTACGCACCGTTTTAAACCACACCGAGGACGGCCGGAAAACTAGTCTCGATAGGAAGCCCATTTCCGAGCGCGGGGCAATGGCATGCATGTGAAGGTGGCGCACGCTGATGAACGGCGGCAGGTGAAAGCCGAACAACACGTCCTCGCTGGACACTCCCCGTCCCTTCAAGAACTCCCTGAGGCCCTCTTCCAGCCGTGTAACTGTAAAATAATAGTAAAATTTAAGATATGTATGTGTATATGAAGGAGTTTAAGCACACTTACCCAGGTCCTGGTGGGATTTGTCGAGAAACTTAAGGCTCGGGACGTGCTGTTTAGTCACTGCCAAATAGTGATGCTGTGACGCAGGCTTAATATCCTTGAAAATAACAAATTCATCCGTTTCAGTCTCCAATACGGTGCCCGAGTCCTGGCCACTGGATATATCACAGAAAATGCAGTTGCTTGTCGTCATTATTTGTCAAATGTTGAAAAAATTGCTTTTGTTTGCACTAGTTTTTGGTCCTTGAGGTAGATTTTATTTAATTTTGAAATGAAAATAGCACTGCAAATGTTTGTTTCTCAACTGAACAGCTGACTCGGGAACTGGTTATCGACAACAACCAGGGATGCAAAGTTCTAAACATCGATAAGCTAATTTAGTTAGCAAAACTATTATTTAATTTAATAATAATGAGCAATAAAAATATTTATAATTGAGATCTGTAAACGAAATTTTGAAAAATCCTAAACAACATTTTTTTATTTTTAAATACACATTTTATTGGCGTTTTTTATTAATCATAAATACATTTATTGATTGATTTTGGTGCTAAAATGCTCAAGTTTATTCTTCCTTTATTAAAGGTATAAGGTTTTCGTATTCATATTATCTGTTGCTGTTTGCATATTGTTCTCGACGTAGCGTTGGTTCAGTGTAAATAAATCGCCATTTGTTCCGATGCGCTTTGTATATTTCCTGTTCGATTAGGTAGTTGGTTCAATTCGTTTTTCATTCCGCGGTGGCTTTGTAAAATTTAGAATTGTTTTCCTTGCAGCACTTGCGGCGTGTGATAGATATATGTGTGTATATTTAGGATTAACTTATGAACGGAGCTGATAATACATAATAATATATATAAATATATATATTTATATATAGAGCTGGTAATAGTAATGATATACAATCGTTTTTAATCATATGTCTAAGGGTACTAGATAGATAGAATTAGATGTAAGAAAAAGTTCAATCGTTGTTGTTGTTGTTGGGGCGTTGTAAAGCGGAAGATCGTAGATTGCGTATCTGGGTTAGATTGTCGCAGTCCCCTCTTGTCGTAGTTCCAGTCCTAGTCCTCGTCGTCGTCGATCGCCGCACTGCTGCGAGAGATCTTCGTGTAGGCTGCATAGATGCACTCGCACACGAAGCGATACTGGCTCTGGAAGGAGACGGAATAAGCTTGAACAAGACGCCAGACAAGATCTCCCAGGGATATACTCACCACATTCTGCACCATGCAGGCTCGCTGATCGCGCATGGTTCTCACAATGTCCAGTGGATACACCGGCTCCCGGGCCTCCATCAAAGCCAAGGCGGTGTCCATCAGTATGAGCACGCCGGTGCGTCCAATGCCTGCTGAACAGTGGACGATCACAGGTGGATTGGCGGCACTGATGCATCTACAAGTAGGTCGGAAAAGGTTAAAATCCAGTCCTGAACGCTTCTTCGCAAATACTCACTGATGCACGCTCGTTGATACGGGCGTTTCGTCTTCGGGAGTGGCTCCATTGCTGGCCGCACACTTGCGCTCCCGCATCAGGCCGCCGTTCTCGTCATCCTCCGCATCAGCGTTCATTAGGCGCATTTGCTTGAGGTTCTCTTCAATTTCCTGAAGAAGCGTGCGCTTGCGCGCATTTCGCACTCGCTCCGTGAACTCGAGGAAGAGGTTGGGATCGGAGGGCACGCAGTGGTCGGGCCAGGCCAGGTACTGCATGTGGTGTATGTGCCGCTGCTCGTGCTTGTCGTTCAGCACGAACTCGCGGAAGACGAAGCTGCCCGTTTCGTCCGGCGTCTCGGTAAGGCAGCGCACCGAAAAGCCCTCGGCCAGCTGCAGCTCCTCTCCGGTCACCGGCCAATACTGGTGGCACTTCTGCCGGCCGGCCTCCATTACCGTGGTGAGCATCACGAGCAGGTGGCTGCTCTCTTGCTGAACCATGCGCCAAAAGTCCGTGGTGGTGCTGGCCAGCGGCCCCTGGGTAGCTATATATCGGTTCACACCGCCGGGAATCTCCATGTTCACGTAGTTAGCGTTGATGTAGTCGCCGGTGAGCGAGTTGACCAACGACACCCGTGTGCAGTCATCTGAAATGGCGACTCCACGTTAACACAGACTCTAAATTAGGGTAAAGGTCTTTCAACTTACATGGCGATATGTCACGGTATCGGTTCTTGGGCGCATTGGACGGCTTGCGCGCTTCCGTGATGGCCAGATCGGGATTTTTGCGGTACATGAGCTCATACTGGGCCAGGAGAGCGCCAGAAGCCAGGCCATCGCTGAGCAGGAGCACGCTCTGGTTGAAAAGGGCGTCCCCATCAAGCAGATTCGAGTGCGATCCGGTTTCGTCGCTCTCGGGAACGTACTGGTACATCGGCTCCTCCTCCAGATGCAACGGCATTGAGCTCTGCGGACGCACCGTCAGCAGAAGCTCGCCACTGGCCGTGTTGCGGCAATCACGGATTAAAGCCACCACCTGCTCGTGGCGCAGGCCATGCACCTCGCGTCCGTTGATCATGAGCACCTCGTCGCCCTCGCGAACGCGGGGTGTGCAACGGTCGGCAGGCGTGTGCGGCACCACCTTGGATACCTGAACGGGATGGCTTAGGTTTACACCGCCCTTCACATTAAACCCGTAGCGTCCGTGCTCGTCGGCCAGCAGCCTTATGGTGATGAGGTCGCTGCCACTTTCCGGCTGGCCCACAGCGTCAGCGATTGTGGTGGGCAGCAAGATGGGGCTGTGCTTGCCGGAGCTGTAGGCAGGTGGCATAGGGGAGGGTGAGGCCGACTCAAATCGCCTTGTACACTGCTCGCTTAAGCCCACCTCGCTGAAAAGATTTCATATTTATGTTAGCTTAAATGGATAGAAAAATCAAGAACAAAGAATATCAACAATTTTTATAATTTATAGGGTCGAAAATGACCGTTTCAGAGAATTTCAAGCATCTGACTAAAATTAGCCTGCAAGGGTATTAAAATATATAAAAACTCACAGCTGGATGTCGTACTCGTCGCTCTGCTGCTCCCAAGCCTTCCGTGGCATCGAGTCGGCCTCCTTGGAGGTAACCTTACCGCTCGCCTTGGTGATGGTCAGAATGGTGCCTCCGGCGGCCGCGGAAGGCTTACCATTGTGAGAGGCAGCGCTCTCGGAGCCACTGTGCTGCTGCAGGGGCGTGCCGCCCGAGGAGCCCGATGTGCCGCCAACGCCTCCTGCCGCGAATCGCTTGCTGGGCGAGCGTACAAACACCTTGTGGATGCGGCCGCGCTGCTTCGACTCCTGCACTGCCTGGAGCTCGGTGCGGCCGGAATAGTAGAACTTGCTGCCCAGACTTATGTTGAGGAAGCGCGAGAGCCGGTGCGGCCGCTTCAGACGGAAGAAGCTATGGTGCTCCACGCAGGACTTCCATAATGCCTTTGCGTGCTTGTGGCTAAGCATCCCGAAGCCCAACAGAGTGTCGTAGCTCTCGCTGGGCTCGCGGCGGAGCTGGATGAAGAAGTCCTTGCGTTTGAACGACACCTTCACCATCTTGCTCCACGAGAAGGTGTTGATCCGGAGCGAGTGCTGGAAGACGAGCAGCCCCACCGCCGACACGCCCAGCTGCAGCTCCTTGCCATTGGAGTCGGTGGCGCTGTGCAAGTCAATGCCATACAGCTCCAGACGCTTTGCGTGCTCCAAATAATTGTACTCGGCGTCCGCCGGCAGCTGGCCGCGATGCAGCTTGTGCAGCTCGCCCACCTTGCGCTCCGCCTCGGGCGTCTGGTCGCACAGCAGCTGCAGGCCGCTTAGGTAGCCCACCTGGTGCTCCGACGCATTGAAGTCCCCCAACTCCGCTGTGGGAGGAGACATTGGGATACAAATTAAACACCTGATGTGAGAGAGTCAAGGGATGCACTTACACTGCACCGTGTAGCTGGCAAGCAGGCACTGGGTGTTGCTGGAGCATGGCAGCTTGCCCAGCAGAATGTAGCGCTTGATCTGCAGATAGAACTGATAGCGAGTGAACTCCTCCTGTAAGCGGCTCGGATCGCTTACAAAGAACTGTGGGGAATAGGCAGTTTATAAGATCTGTAAGGATAGGGGCCAATACAAGCTCACCTTAACCCTAAACTGTAATAATGGAACGGCATTGTTGTCCAGGCCAACGCTGCTGCATTGCTTCTTGAACTGCTTCTGGGCATCGACCCATCTCTGCGGGGAAAAAAACAGAGTTAAAAGATGTTTTGAGATACAGTTGGAGGGACTTACCACAACATCGTCCGGCTTCTCTGGGAAAAGTAGGCCGAAATAGTCCCTTTCGGATAGCTCGAGATACTGAAAGACCTGATCCAACAGCTCAGAGCCTTTTGCACGTTTCTACAAAAGAATGGGATAAGAAGGCATTATTTCTCAGCCCCAAAGCCCCTGTATTCAGATATCTGCCTAGGAAATCTTATGGCGCATTGCTCCCCCCCACTTTCTGCGATGCAATTACAGCGATTAAACGCCTTCAATTTAATTGCAATTTCAGTAGACAGATTTTGTCCCGATTATAATTTTCATCTCCGCAGCACACACTCGATCATCGTCGAGGTGAAAAGAAAGCGAAACCTCGGATGGAGCTGGAGATTGGGAAGCAATGCGGACAAGTGCGTGTCTGCGATGCTAGCTGAGATGAAGAAAGCGAGCTCGAGTGCGCAGATAAAAATGAATAAATGAATAGCGATGATTAGCAGAAAACTTTCTTTGTTTTGACTATATTTCGCATATTGAATAATTATGCGCATGGCTAATGGAACTCTACGAAGCAGCAGAGGAAATCCTCTCCTGACTCAATATCAACACATTCAAATACTAGTTTGAAGCAGAAACCCCCCCACTCCTTGGCTGTTTCTAGGCCTAATGGGTGGGTTGTTACCTCGATCCGAAAGGTGTGCGTGATGTCATCTAGGAACAGGACGGTGACGCATTGCTGCCGTTGCGGGTTCTTCTTGTCGCGCGCCAGTTCTGTGCCGCCTCCACGAAGGCGGAAGGTTCTGCTCAGGTTTCTCAGTCGGAAGCGCTCAAACATGACCGAACTCCATGCTGCACTGCCGACTGCTCACTGGATTTGGTTTTGGATTCGTTTTCGAATTTCTAGGCTCCGGGCGGTACGTGTTTCACGTGTCTTTCTTGGAGGGCGCTCTGATTGCGGAGAAGTTCCTTGCGATGGGGCCTCTCCTCTGGCTCGGCTTCTTCTGTTGTTTATTCGATAAATTGGCAAGAGTATTTAGTGTGTATTATTGTTTGTTTTGCAGGTGGCTGGCTTGCTTTTGTTTCCAGTTAACTTGGCTGCCTCCTCCTTTGGCTCCCTTTCATGTG